TAGTAGTAGTAGAGTAGTATAGTAGTCATAGTAGTCATAGTGTATATCTTCGTCGTAGTAGTAGTAGTCTTCGTAGTCTTAGTCGGCGTCGTAGTCGTAGTAGTAGTAGTAGTAGTAGTAGTAGTAGTAGTAGTAGTAGTAGTAGTAGTAGTAGTAGTAGTAGTCGTAGTCGTAGTAGTAGTCGTAGTAGTAGTAGTAGTAGTAGTAGTAGTAGTCGGAGGAGGAGGCGGAAAAAGGAGGAGGACGCGGCGGAGGAGGTGGAGGAGTGGCCGTAGCACCGCTTGCTCATATAGTGAGGCCATGCTTGCTGTTTTTCCGTTGTGTCCTCTGTGTGCATTCGCGCTCGAAGGCTCTTTCGGCTTGTGTCCGAAGAGGAGGAACATATTGCCGTTAAAGACGCGACCGGAGCACAACACATCGACGATGGTGAAATTTGCTCCTGGGCTTTCTTTGATTGCTCAGGAGTCCGTCGGACGTTGTATGGCGCCTTCTCCCTCGTGCCTCGGCCGATGATTTTTTTTGCGATTGATGGCTTAGCACCCGGACAGCTGAATAGCGATCGTGGGGGAGGAGATGGGGGAATAGGTAATTGATGTAAGCCCAGCGAGACCGAGATTCGAGGATTGAGGTTCGAGGAGGAGTATCGAGGTCATTTGACGTTTCTGGCACTTCGGGCTTTCGCTGACCTCCAACCCGCAGGGCTTCGAGGATAAATGGGCTTCGCGTTTCGTGGCCTTGGACGATGTTTTTTGTTTTTTGTTCGGGGATGCGCGCAAGAACGCGAAAGAGACTGCGTCTCGCTTCGGGCGGCAAGAAGCGGGAGTTTAGGTGACCCAGGCAGTCTTTTCAGACATTTGCGGCGCAGCTGTCCGGATGCCGGCGCATTTTTGGTTGGCAAGCGCGCGTTCGCGTTAACATGCTAATTCAGGATTGTTGATATGAGGTTTCAGACGTTGTCGTTGATGATTAGCCAGCCGATGAGGACGAGGAAGAGAAGGCGGAGGAGGACGAGGAGGAGAAGGAGGACGTTTGGGAAGAGCAGGATGAGGCAGAGGTGGGGGAGCGGTTCCTGCCGCGGGCGACGCGAACCTGCGCCGTGCCTGCCGGCGGCAAGCCAAACCAGAACGGGTGGATCGGGGCGTCCAGAGGCGCCGAGCGCGCGGGGAGGGGGCAGAAGCGGACGGACACATGCGGTCGGAGCGGGTCACGGCGGGCCGCTGGGAGGACCTGGGCAAGGTGGTCGCCGTGGGCGTACCGCCCCCGGAGGGCACCCCAGGAGCCCGCTTGGCCGCCGGTTGGGCGGGAGGGCCAGCAAGGCGTTGGCGGTGATGACGACCGCGGTTTTGAATTCGGGTGTTGCCAGAGTTTTGGCGTCGCTCGGACGTGTGCATTTTTCGTCGAGGATTATGGAAGAGGACCATCTCGCGAAAGATACAAACACGAAACCGAAACTTGCAGGAGGGATGGGACGCACGAGTGATGGCCAGGAGCTAAGAGGTCACAATGAGTCAAGGGTGACCCCAACTGTTCCAGGGAGGCGCCGAGGTTCCAGAGTACCCTTTTCGAGGCACAGAGGGCCCCAGGAAGGTTGAAGGTGGCGCGAACATCGGGCAGAACGAAAGGGGGGGATAGGGAAAGGGGGGGTACGAAATCTGCTGCATGCAGTTGGTTTCCGTCCCGCCGCTGGGCCCATTCCTCGCTACATGGGCGCCTGCTAACGCCAGGAAGCGCCCAGAAAATTAGCTACGTGAGCTGATGATTATACTTTTTCCTTTTGCTATGCTACCCTTTCGTGCCCCCCGAGAAAAGCTGTGGGCGCCGTGGGCCAGTATCACTTCCGGCAAGCTCCGAACGGTGATGGTGACGACCGACGTCTGACGACGGCGGCGGCCGAAGATCGACGACGATGCCAATGATGACGCAGATGATGACCATCTTCATCCAATGACCTCTTTCTTAGAGTGGCCCTCTGTGTGGCCTCTGAGTCAAATGGCTGCGGAGATGGGGATTCGTTGCCACAGACCCTTGTCTCTCACCTTTGCTACACAGTGTACGCAAATATCTGATCAGAAAACGAAATTCAGGACGATTTTCACATCATGCATTGATCCATCATCGTCATCTTCATCTTCCTCCTCCTCACCATCACCATCATCATCATCATCATCATCATCATCATCATCATCATCAGCATCATCACCAGCATGATCATCATCATCATCATCATCAACATCATCATCATCATCATCATCATCATCATCTTTAGTATACACATCAGCATCATCATCATCATCAGCAGCAGCAGCATCATCATCATTATCATAGCCGCTTTGGCTCTGGCATTTGCTGGCGTGGTGGCTTCTACCTTGCACCTGCTGGACGCTCGCACTGCCATGCCCTGCCTGGCGCGCGTTGACTGGATTCGGAGGCAGCTCGGCCGAATGCTGCGGACACCTCGAAGGCCAAGGTGAGGGTCTTGGTGGCGCCGACCGCGGCGGGTGCTCCTCCGCCTGCCGCTCTTTTCGCTGCGCTGGGTGTTCCCCTTCACCTCCTTCGGCAGCTTGTGGAAGGTTCGGTCACCACTGATCGCGCGCACCGACACTCCGACGGGTTCTCCGCGGTGCACTTTTGGGTCAACTGTGCGGGTCGCGACCGTCTTTGTTTCGATGGCGCCGGCGGGGGTCCTGGTGATCACGGTGGGGATAGTCTTGATGGAGCGTGCGATAGCTCGCATCGTCCTGGAGGTCGCGGTCGCGACGTTGCCTCGCAGGACCCCTGGCATGGCCCTGACGGGTGCGATCCATGGGCATCTGTGCCTGGTGGCGGCGGCGTTGGCCCACAACCCAAAGTACCGCGGCGACATGGGCCTGCCGTTCATGTCCCGAGTGTTGCTGATGAGCGTTCTCTCGATGCTGGTGGTACACGATCCTGGTCTCTTGCCCTGGCCTGTTGGCGTTCCTGCTGCATGGGTCCCTTTGCCCGCGCTTCAGGATCTTCTTCAATGCCGTGCTGATGACGTTCACACCAGCGGCGCGGGATATGCATCGGCGCCGCTTCCGCGTGCGCCTGTTTTGCCGACGCTTGAGGCGGCCGCTGGTGCGAGGGCCGTGGGGCGCAGCGTGGTCAGACACGTCGTGGCGAGCTTCATTGGTGAGTTGACTTTGCGATGCGATTCGGCCCCTGAGCGTCGGATTGTATAGGCTCCTAGCTGGTTGTCTCAGCAACATCAGTTCGAGAGCCGATGATCTCGAGCGGCTGGCCGGCAATTTCGACCAGCTCGAGCAGGATATGTTTTATCTCCAGGCCCTCCGTAACTTGGGCCTGGCAGGAGCTAGGTTTGCTGCGCTCGCGTGCCGGTCCTGATTGTGGCGCTTTGGTTGGGCTTCAATCGGTTATCTCTTGGGGCGAGGTGGTTGGCTACGGCTTCGGCATCCCAGACTGTCTCTTGGGCATCGCCTTGTGGGCAGCGCGTGGTGCGGTACGGCTTCGGCGTCTCAGATTGTCTCTTGCGCAGTGCGTGGTGGGCTTCGGCGTCGGCGTCCGAGATTGTCTCCAGAGTAAGTGGTGCGCTACGGCTGTGGCATCCCAGATTGTCTCTTTGGCTGAGTGACTTCGGCGACCCTGACTGTCTTTTGGGAGCACGTGGTGTTCGTCGGCCTCAAATTCGTGGTGAGGCCTCGGGCCCGCTCTTCTCCTGTCGTTTTGTTTCTTGCCGTCTTGCCCCGTCGTCCTGTGGCTTATCTTCTCGTCTCCTGCCCCCCCGCGCTGTCGTTTCTGCGCTTCGGGTTCGTCGTTGCTGCCCCATCGGCCTCGTCTTCCTCTTCTCCTCCCTTGCTCCATCGTCGCCCCCCGCTCTCGGTCGCTGGCTTTCCCGTCCTCGCTCCCCTCGGCGACCCCGCGCTGCGCTGCCAGCCTCGCGCACGAAGTCCAGTTTCGCATTCAGCCGCCCAAGAAAAATCGTCATCATCATCGTCAGCATCAGGATCGTCCACCGCCACCATCACCACGCCCACCTTCGGCATCGTTATCACCGCATCATCATCCTCATCGTCAGCGTCGTCGTGGCCGTTATTTCCAGCGTTGCCACTACCAATCATCTCCAGCAGCAGCGTCGTCGCAATCAATTGCGTTTTCAGCGACGTTGTCGACGACGTCATCTTTTTTGTGCAAGATCATCATCAACGCTGGCGTCGTCGACCATCATCATTATCGCCGCCATCGTCGCCATCATCGTCATCACCATCATTATCAATGATCATCTTCACTATCGCCAACGTCTCCGCTATCTCCATAGTCATAGTCGTCGACGCCGTGACCAGCGTTAACATTAAAACCGGCATCATTACCATGATATTGTGATGATCGCGCCACTTCCGCAGCACGCCGTCGGCCAGAGCCTGCATGGGCCATGACTTCCCTGTTGATTGCGACGACGAATCTGATGGTGGAAATGATCGCTGGCTGTTGAGAGTGTGCGTGACGTTGATGAGTGTCTGGCCCTCCGTGCGTTGCGCAGAGCGTGGTCCATTCAGGGTATTTTTCTGTATTCGCAGTAAGTGATGGTGTCCGATTCAAGAGTGCGCCCGCCGCAGGTTTGTTCGAGTAGTTTTCCCCGTATGCCTGATGGTTTTCAGCCCCATGCGATGCCAACCGAGAGGAGACGCGGTGAGATCTGACGACCGCGGGTTCTGCCTCCCCCTTTCGTCTCCTTTCCCACACAAATGTGGGAGTTTTGGGTGCGCCTGTTTTGCTGGTGCGGGCTATGCCTCGTTGGATAAATCGTGTGTTGCTGGTCATTATACTGGGAATTGGCTTCTGATGATTGGTCGGTTGGGTTGGTGAATCTGCCTGGCGCAGCAATGTGGTTCTGCTCATCGCAATGCATGCAGGTGCGCCCCAGCGACCTTTCTGTTCGCAACACAAAATTTCAGGGAAGCCACGCATGGTTCTGTCCATCGCGGCGTCCAAGAGGGGGATGAAAACTAGTGTGTGTGTGTGTGTGTGTTTGTGTGTGTGTGGCGCTGGGTTCGCCCTGGGTCCCTGGCGTCGCCGACCCATCTTCTTGTGTTCCTGGGTCGTCCACCTGCGGGCCAGCGCTGCGGTGTTTCCCGGCATTGGTCGTTAGGCAGTCCTGGCCGCCTCCTTTTCCCTGCCGCCTGTGGCTGTCTTGGCTTTTCACCTGCGGAGCCGCCCTTGCGGCCTCCCTTCTGTCACCGGGTCGTACACGCCCTCGCTTCCTCTCACATTCGCTGGTTGGCGCCGCATGGCCGTGCATGTTATCTTTTTCGCATTGGGCGTATTTCCCCTGTCGACAATGTTTGGTGGTAATTGTTATTAGCGGCCACGCTAATCTGTCGCTGTATTGGACCAGCTGGCCGAGATGCAAAACATGTGTGTGCGTGTGTGCGTGTGTGTGTGTGTGTGTGTGTGTGCGTGTGCGTGTGCGTGTGGGTATCGCTGATGTTCTTGCTCCCTCTCCCTTTCAGAAGTCGTTACCTGGCTACCCCTTGTCCGCGCACCCGAAAGCAGACTTCTCTGCCCTGGTTTGGCGCATTTATTTGTTTTTGGGATTTCTTTCTCTTCCTCTCTCTGTGTCTATATCTGTCGGTCTGTCGCCAACTCCCAGGCGACAGATTCGAGGCTCGTCGCGAACATGACGATTCTTGTCATCACATACGATTTTCATCATCAGGTGTGTATATAAGGCCTCGCGAGTGAGACCGTTGTGAGAAGGATCTTGGTCTCGATTCTCGAGGCCCTGTCCCCAAAGTGGTGGACCCTGGAGCAGGAGGGGGAGGGAGGCGGAGTGGGACGGGTGAGGGGGAGGGGGGCGAAAGGACAGGGGGAGGAGGAGCTGTTTTCGTTTGCATCGTCAGTTCCAGCCGTCAGACACGGCTCAACTGCTTTACGTCTCCAGTCTTTCCTTGTCACAGCCCTTTGCGGGCACTGACCACAGGAGACCTCAAGCGGGGGTCGCCACCCGCTGAAAGTGGCCTTAATTCGGCGGGTTTTCCTTTGGGTGTTTGGGCCTTGTGCCGTTATGGGCGCTGTTGCCGTGTGGCGCCTCGTGCCAGACATGCAGGTTGACTCCTGCCGACTCTTGGCGCCTGAAAAAGGCTTCTGCCACCACGGACCCTGGCACCGCCGGGTGCGCGACCGAGCCTGGTGTCTGCCGGCGCTCTGCGCTTGCTGGGGGGAGCAGCCACCATGGGTGGATGGCACCCGCATCCGCCAGGGTATGCACTGAGAATTGCCCCCCCCCCCCCCCCCAATTAGAAGGGTGGGATTGATGCTGATGATTGTGGTGGCAATCGTTCATAGCATGTGGAAGGACTCCACGCATATCCTGAAACGTGGGGCCTCTCCGCGCCACGGCGCCTCCGCTCCGTCGTTCGAGGGCCGCGTTCCGGCGCGTATGCGAGCTTCCCGTCCGTCTTGTGGCGGTGGTGTCGGTGGTGATTTTAATGATGGGGGAGAGATGCATGAGGATTTTATGATGTTGATGATGGTGCTGGTGGTGATGCCCGTGATCCTGACGCTGACGCCGATGAATGAAACCGTGCGGGACGGCGACGAGAGTAAGTCTTTGAGATGATTGGTAGTGCTAGTTAGTGGTGCTGCTGCTGCTGTTTTTGTACCGGAGCCCTCCGCTGGGGCGGGATTCCTGTGTTTTCCTATCTGCGTTCTCGTGACTCCCATGAGAATAAGGTAATAAGTAAGAGTGGGTTGGAGTGGTGGTGGTGGTGGTGGTGGTGGTGGTGGCTGCGGTGATCACGGAGTGCTCTTCACTTGTGACGGTAAAGACTTTACAAGATTTGTGAAAGAAAGCATGCGGGTGGTGCTGGAGAGAGAGAGAGAGAGACATAGACAGAGAGAGAGAGAGATAGAGAGACATAATGAGAGCTCTAGAAAGTCAATTCGGAGGATCGCTTCGAGACAGACAGTGCAGCATCATACAAGTCTTCCTGGAATGACTCCTTCCTTCCCTCTGAAGTCCGAATTGACCCTCCTGTTCGGAGACCAATGTAACCACTTCTTTTTCGTATGAGTGCAAGACATTCGTCCCGCTTTGCAGGAGAGCCCACGACGCTTGACCTGGCCGACTGGACGCGGCAGGCTTTTTTGCCAGCTTTTATGTTCTTGATGTTGCGTCTTCTTGCTCTCGCTCTCGTGATGTGCCTCTTAGATTTGGCAGTGGCTGCTTTCAGCCAACTTTCTCTCAGGCACGGAGACTCTATTTCAGCAGGAGCCCATTCTCTGTCAGTCTCTAGGACGTTGACTTGCGCGCCCCCCCAGAGCAAAATCCTTTTCAGGGTTTGCGGTCTTTGAGCGTTTGGGCGATTCGGCAACTCTCTGCATGCTTGTTGCTGTTGTTGTTGTTGTTGTTGTTGTTGTTGTTGTTGTTGTTGTTGTTGTTGTTTTTGTTGTTGTTATCTTCTCTCTCTCTCTTATTCTCTCTCTCTCTCTCCCACGTATTCCCTTATATATATTTTTACAATCCGAGCGGAACGCGAAAGGGGTCCCCCCCAAAAAAACTGGACTCCCGGGATCTGGGGCTTTGGGGCCCTTTGGACGGGCCTCGAAGCGACACCCCGGGCCTCACAGGGCGTTTTGCCAAGCCTTCCCAGCACACCTAAGGCGATCAGGGGGGTCATCGGAGACGTCCCAGAGACCCCCAAGACAGCACAAGAGCGCTCCAAGAGTGACCGACGTGACCTCCAGATGGCCCAAGAGGCCGACGGTCCCAAAGAGGCCTCCAAGAGCACTCCCAAGAAGGCCCCAAGAGGCAAAAATCATTGATTCTCTGTTGTTTTTTTGTGAATTTGGGGGTTCTCCTCTTTTCGGCTTCCCGACGCTCCAAGACGGCGGTCTTCTGGGCGTCCAAAGCCGCCTGGGAGGCTCCAAAATCGCCCCACAACCATCCGAAAGGCCTTCCGGGCAGTCCAAGAGAGCCCCAAAACGGCACAACACGGGTCCAAGATGGCCCTCAGAGAGCCCCATGGCGGCCCAAGATGGCCCCAAGACACCTTCCGAAGATGGCCCCAAGACACCTTCCGAAGCATTCCAAATCGTGACCCAGTCGTTCAGGGAGACCGCGGTTGGAGGCAGGGTGGCCCGAGGAAGCCCCCAGAGGCCCCCATAATAAGCCCAGGAGGCCTCCAGAAGGCCTGAAGCTGAAACAACTTTTGTGAGGCCCCCAGAGGCTCTCCAGGGAGGAGCCTCCGCAAAAAAAGCTGCGGAGGATGGGGAGAATGCGCAGGGTATGGCCCCAAGAGGCATGGAGGAAGGATAGCGAATAACATTTTTATAGCGGCGATGCCGGAAAAGGTAAAAAGGAGTTATCGTTAAATTGTCGGCTTGACCTTCCTGCTATTCCGCCTGCACACCAAAATTTCAAGGACCAAGGTGCATGGCGCGAAACGCCAATGCAGTTTTGTATACATATATATATATAGAGAGAGGGAGAGAGAGAGAGAGAGAGAGAGAGAGGGAGAGATACATGCACACTAGTTGTTATACACCCCCCAGGCTCCGACTCGATGATATCTCGGGCAAATCCCGACACCGCCCTACGGGGCTTCCCAGGAGGGAGCCCCAGAAGGGCCTCGGGACGGTTCACGGCTCCGAGACACCCCACGAAAGCTCCATTTTCGAGCGCCCAAGACAGTGCCACGAGATTTCCAAGGAAGCCCTTTAGAGGCTCAACTCATTGAAACACCAAAGGAAAATCAGTGATGTCTGCGTTCTCGCATTTTCGCCTCCGAAGATGCCTCCCAGAGACGCCCCGAGAGGCCCCAAGAGGCCACGGACACGCTCGAAGAGGCACCCACGAGACCCCAAAATAGGCCCCCAAGAGGTTCTGATGAGCTCCCAGGAGCCGCCCAAGAGGCCCCCACTGGCTCCCAGAAGCCCAACGAGCGCCCAAGAGACCCCCAGAAAGCCTCCAAGAGGCCCCCAAGAGGCCCCACGAGACCCAACGAGACGCCCGCAACAGCCTCCAGGAAGCTTTTGTAGACACCACAGAGCCGCCCCAGGGAGACTGCCGCGAGACTCTCTCCTACCTAATCCCTCTCTCCCACTCCCTTTTCCCCGTTGTGTCCCTTTCCCTCCTCCCTCCACATCATCTCTCTTTCATTCCTTCCTCCGCCTCCTCACCCAACTTCCTGCCTCACGAGGTGATCGGAGGCCCAACTTCAAAACCAGCAAGGACATCCTACATATCCTTTCGTTCCAAGTTCGGCACCCGCCCTTCCCAAATGCGTTTCCGCCTGACCCATCCCTTGCTGTCAGTTCCCATACATCTCTCTCCTGCTTTGCGTTTCACATCCTTCTCCTTCTTCTACCCTTTGTTGCGTTTTGAAGACACCCCAGAAGGGTCCGAGAGCCCCCTGTGGGCTTTCAAGAGCACACCCAGAGGCTCTCACCCAGCAGCCTCCATGAGCTCGAGGGGGCACATCTGCGTGAGTGCGGGCTCGTTTAACTTAAGCTGTGCGTACGTTGCTTCAATGTTCGTTGAGGCGGAGCCTCGCTGTTGTTGTGCCATTTCGGGTTGCATTGTTATCGTGGCGCGTCGACTCAGCGTTGCAGGCAGCCTGGAGATCACGCGCTCCCTCCGCATCCTCATCGTCGTTTCTCCCCCTTTCGCCGGAGGATCGGGGGGCAAGGTAACATACCCAGGATGCACTGGTTAGCAGCATACCTTGAGGACCTAAGTATCATCGTCGCCCATGCCCGCCACGCAAGCTATGAACCCGACCAGCGAGAACGCTGCACATACGGACATGCGAGCTTACTCAGCAACTGCATCAATTACACTCGGTGGCTCATGCTCGACATACAGCTTATAATGATTAGTGGGCCTGGTCATGTTGTGTGTTCCTTCTTATGCGCGCCGATCGCCCCCCCCGGCAAACGGATCCCAGCGACCCTATTGCAACTCCATGTAACGAAGGGGATGCCCTTGAGGGAGGAGGGTCGAGCTCCGTGTGTGGCGCTGTCCGTGTTAAGGGTATGCCGAATTCGAGCGGGGATAGTATAGTAGCGACTCGAGCTTGTGCTGCAGGTGGAGTTTCTGCGCCTTGTAGGGTGGGCTCTGATTGTCAGATGTGCGGAAGCGGGCGAGTGGACCGCGTGTGGGCGCGCCCGCGTGTTTTTCGTGTCCAAAATACAGTTCGCGCGATGGGTGTTGCGGAAAATGCGGACGCGCCCATCGAGGCCGCAGGTGAGTCTCCGTATGGATCGCAACGCTCGTGAGGGGTGTGCCGAAGTCGGTGAGGGGGCGCATGCCAACGTGCCACGCGGACGCCTTGCTTGGTGCCGCAGGGGCAGCTCCTTGTCATGCACGATCCGTGTGAGAGGGGTATGCCGAGTGCCGGCACGCGCATGAGGCCGCATGCGGGCACCCTCGCTGGTGCTGTAGGTGCAGCTCCTTATGGGGCACGATCCGTCTGCGGGGTGTGACACTTGTGCGTAGGGGCGCATGCGGGCGCCCTCACTGGTGCCGTAGTCAGAATTCCATGTGTGGCACGATCCGCGTGAGGGGTGTGCCGACTTGATGGAGGAGGTACTACAATATAAGGCCAGTCGCGAAGCGATATGGCCGCCTGCTTAGCCTTGCTGAGAACCTTGGGCATGTGGCCTCGGGAAATCCAACCGAGATATTCTAGACGCTTCGCGTAACCCCACCAGGTTTTTGCCTGATCCGCGGCCCCGCGCGCGTTAGGCAATTTAGTCGCGGCCGTAGCCCGCCCGCGACCTCCCGCCGCTGGCGCTTCGCCTGCGGCTGTAAAAAAAAAAGAAGCGTAACCCCACCAGGACCCTCGTTCTGCCTGCAGCTTTACAGTGCCTCGCCGTCCGTCCTGGCCTCGCCTCCGAATGTGGTTCGGCTGGAGCTTGGCGCCGAAAGGGCGACTTCTCCCCCCCGTTCCGCTGCCGGTCGCCGCGCCTCTGCGTCCCTACCTGTTGGGATGTCTGGGCTGGTCACCTGCCGACGCCGTATGCGTTTCAATGAGGGACATTTTGTCCCTGGTACGTGCATACGCCACTGCGGCCAATTTACATCGTACCGCGCCCTGGACGTTGAGCCCGCTCCTTGTCCCTCGCCTTGGAGCCGCGAACCAACAAAAATAACCCCACCAGCTTAGCCTCGTTCAAGCCCCGGACCTTGCTTCTTGCCGCCTGATGGTTGTCTCGCGGCCGCGACCAAACAAGTAACCCCACCAGCCCATCCAGAGACGATGCCCATACAAGTTGCCCTGATCAGGGACATGGGGTATGATGCAGTAAGATCAAAGGTCGGGCAAGACGTCGTACCCCCAGACGGGGAGGATGGAGGACGAATCGGAGGAGGAGCAAGGGGAGCAGGAGGCGGAGGAGGAGGAGGAGGAGGGAGAGGGGAAGGGGAGGTTCTACGAGGAAGAGAAACCGGCGGATGTGGAAGAGGAGCAGGAGGAACAGGAGGAGTTGGAGGAGGGCGGGCCGAAAGGCCAGATGCCTTTTGGATGCCTCTCGGAGTCTCTTCGGATTTCGTTCGATTGGGGTCCTCTTGGGGCGTCTTGGGGGTATCTTGGCAGTCCTGGAGGCCTCTTGGAGCCCCTTGGGTTCCTCTGGGGGGCCTCTTTTGGCCTCTTGGGGGTCCCTTGGGAGGCTTTTGCGGGCCTCTTTGGTGCCTCTTGGGGGCCTTCCTTGCTGAACCCTTAGGAGCCTCGGCTGCCATCTAACGGCCACCCTGTAGGAGATCGGTCAAAGGATCCCCCCCCAGAAAGGTAAACTGTGGCCAAAACCAAATTGCTGGGTAAAATCAATGATTTTGGCATTATCACCGATACTATTTAGGGCTTCTTGAGTGCCGCTGGGGAGCCTCTTGGAGCCTCTTGGGGGTCTCTTGGGAGCCTCTTTTGGGGTGGCCTCTTGGGGGCCTTGGGCCTCCTGGGCACTCTTGGGGCACCCTGGGGCACCCGTGGGGTGTCTTGGGCGCCTCTTGAGGTTCCAACGACGACGAACACGAAGACGATTACAACAACAACTTCTACTATTGCTACTACTGCTACTATTACTACAGCTGCGACTACCACTACTACTACAACTACAACTACAACAACTACTACTACTACTACTACTACTACTACTATTACTACTACTACTACTACGACTACGACTACGACTACGACTACGACTACGACTACTACTACTACTACTGCTACTGCTACTACTACTACTACTACTACTACTACGACTACTACTACTACTACTATGACTACTACTACTACTACTACTACTACTACTACTACTACTACTACTACTACTACTACTAACTACTACTACTACTACTACTACTACTACTACTACTACTACTACTACTACTACGACTACTACTACTACTACTACGCGACTACTACTACTACTACTACAACTACTACTACTACTACTACTACTATTACGACTACGACGACTACTACTACTACTACTACGACTACTACTACTACTACTATTACTTTTACTACTACTACTACTACTACTACAAGAACTACAACTACACCTACAACTACAACTACAACAACTACTACTACTACTACTACCACCACTACTACTACTACTACTACTACTACTACTACTACTACTACTACAACTACAACTACAACTACAACTACTACTACTACTACTACTACTTCTACTACTACTACTACTACTACTACTACTACTACTACTACTACTACTACTACTACTACTATTACTACACGAACTACAATTACAACTACAACTACAACTACAACTACAACTACAACTACTACTACTACTACTACTTCTACTACTACTACTACTACTACTACTACTACTACTACTACTAGTACTACTGATGGATGCGAAGGAAGAGCGGGAGCAGCAGGAAGTAATAAGCAGGAATATGCGCCCAGCGCTGCGGAGACGAAACGATGACCGAACAACATTAGAGGGTTGCGAAAAAGACAATGGTCCACCTGGCAGAGAGAGCGGTCGCCGGACGCCCTCCGAAGATTTTCAATGTTGTCTCGATTTCTCCTAGGAGCGACATTTCCCAGTGGCGCGGACAGCCCCCAGAGAGCATGTAGAACACTCGAACCTGGGCGCGTGCGAAGCGCGCGTGTAGTTCCAGTACATCTCAACACATGTAGATACAAGTATGCACACATTACACACGTAGGTGTTTTTGTACTCGAGACATGAGCTTTTTGGTGTGATAGAGTTTGTTCGAGGGCGACTCAGTCGATACCAATTCCTTTAGTCGAGCCTTTCTGACTGCGACGGCACCTGTTGCATTGAGGTCGGGTGAGGGTAACACTACCGGTATGTTGCCACGGGAGTTTTCAAATTTTCGGCTCTTCAACCATGGCCTTCCCACCCGTCGAGGTGCAGCGGAGCCTCGGGCCCTGCTGGATGGACCTCGTGCCGAAGATCTGGGACACCTTCCACAGTCCCACGGAGAAGCGCCTCAGCATGAACGAGTTCTTCCTCGCGCTGATCTGCTGCTCCAAGGGCACCGTCGCCGAGAAGGCCCCGCGGCCGCACCTTGGAGGACCTGCTTCGGCGGCGCGCTCAAGGGGGTAGAGCAAGGCGGGTGCCTTCTGAGAAGCCACGTGCCTTCTTAGGCGGCCCTGGAGGCCTCCAAGGAGTCTTCTTAGAAGCCTCTGGGCGTTTTTCAGAAGCCCCCCTGCCTTTGAAAAGCCACTTGACTTCTTAGAAGGCTCCCCCTCGCGTCACCGCCTTGTGCGCGCTGCCAGCCCCTGGAGAACGATGATGGCGATGTGGATGGGGAGACAAAGGAAGTATGGATGATGGAATGCATCTGATTTAGCACAGGTGTTTCAGTATTGAGGGTTGAGGACGGGGGATGCGTGTTCGACAATGGAGGTGTGCGGCGCGAGGAAAGTCTAACGATGGATGATGGCGGAGGAATGATGGATAAGGATGGGGGGGAGTGGGGAGTAGGAAGGGGAGGAACATGTGCAGCACGATGAAGATGAGCAGGCGGAGGCAGAGGTGGCGACGGTAGTCTCCGTCCTCTGTCATGAGCCCCCTCACTGCCCAACGGCAGGCAGTCTCGGCAGTCGCATTCGCACTGATGATCGGGCGTTGCGTAATGGGGGGGGGCTATCAATGGGCGGCGAACACAGGTGCACCTCTTTGTGCCCTAGAGGGGCCCCCTGGGGCTCAAAGGGCCCTTTTCGCCCCCCCCCATTCACCTGCGCCGAAGATGCCTGCACCTAGCCGCCCTTCCCAGGCTCGTGGCTCCCCGCTCTCTCCTCGGAGGACAGGCGGTGCTGTCGTGGCAGCTGCGGAGCCCCTGCGGCACGGACGCGCCGGCAGCTTCCTGCCCAGACCCCGTTGGCCTCCCGTTGTCTCGGGGCCCCGACTCCAGCGACGGCAGGTTCGTGTCGTGTCGACGCGCCGGCGACCCCGTTGCGGGCGCTCAAGGTTGAATCAGGAGGGGAAGAAACACACAGACACAATTAATCGGCGATTCCCAGAAAATATGGGAAAATATGGGAAGTGGGGGGGAAGACAGGAACCCAGACAATATGGGAAAATATGGAGAATCTGTTTATTTGTGTGTATTTATTTGTGTGTTCCAGTTCCCCTTCATTGAACCCCGCTGGTGGCCCAGACTCGGCGAGGACGGTACGAGCAGGCGATCGAAGAGCCGCCGATCTCTGAAATATGAAAGGCCCGCGTGGTTTCAGAGACCAGCGTCTGGGTCGTCACGACGCGAACCTGCCGCAAACCACTCACAAGGATGTCAGTCTTCGCCATACGTTCCTGCGTCCTCAGAAAGACACCTTTCCGTTCTCATGCTCCCCACTTCGTGCTTGCACTCCCGTGAGGGAGCCTGGCAAGTGACTCCGACGACGACCGACGACCGACGACCATTATATATTCTCCCCGTGGGCTCCAGGCGATATCGCTCTTCAACCTGTACGGCACGGTGCATCCGACGATCAGGAAGCACCACGCGACGCCCGTGACGCGCGGCGCTCGGGTGGTGCCCGGATCACGCGGCTGTCTGTGAGGACCAGGGTCCGTTTATGGCCGTTTCGGGCCCCTGCTCGGGCGGTCTCCCCCGGGCGTGCCACTTCGCCAAAGGTGTCCTTGGCCCGAGGTGCCCCCCCCCTGGCTTGTCGCCCAGCCCCTCTGGGGCTCTCTGGGCCTCGTGAAGGGCGGCCTTGGAGGCCGTCTGGGCCCTCCCAGGAGATCCGACACCGTTGGCGTCCCCCGACCCGAAGAACCTCCCAGGTCAGCCGCGGGGGCGCGAAGATAATCCAGGGCGGCGCGAGGGCGCGACGACAGCCGCGAGCCACGCATCGCGGGGCGCGATGCGCAAAGCTACTCCGACTTTCATAGTGAAAGGGGGGGTGGTCTGATTTTTGGGGGGTCTGATGCAAGCCGTCTTGGAGAGTTTCGGGGGGGCCTGGCCGCCCTTTCATGGCTGGTCTGGGGGAGTCTATAGCTGCTCGTCCGGGAGGGTTGGTGACCCCCCCTCCCCCTCCACTTCGGAGCCTGGAGTGCCGTCCGGGCGGGGAAGCGAGGAACACTTCGGGCGCGGGAGGGGCTCGCCGGTGCCCGCGCCGCTCCCCTGAGCCGGGCCCTCGGGGGACTTCCTCGCTATAACCGCGGCCCGCCGTGGCCGGGCGCGCCCCCCTCGCTGCTCTCCCTCGTGGCGCCCCCCGCGGGGCAGCACGAGGGCTGCGTCAGGCGGCCCCCCGCGGCCTCCCGGGAGGCCTCCCGGGAGGCCTCCGGGCCCGCAGGGGCGCGCGGAGGCGGACGGCCGCGCCCCCGCGCTCTGCGCGGGCCGCGGGCCGCAGAGAGCCCGCTTCTCCCTTTCCGGGGGGGGGGGGGCGGTGCGAGAGCGCGAGAGGCTCGGCCGGGCGCCAGAGCCGGGGTTGCCTGCGCCCTGGGCTCCTGCCTGCCCCCCCTTCACCTCCTCCCGGCTCCCCCTCCTCTCCACCCTCCTGCTCGTCTTCTTCCCTCCTCCTCCCTCCGTCCTTGCCTCCTCTTCTTCGCCCTCCCCAGTCCTTTCTCAGAAGCAGGCGGCGGCAGCAGGGGGGAGGGCGTCCTGAGCATGCGAAAACCTCGACGAAGAAGCAACTGCACAAACATAGTTTCTGGGGGCTCCGGGCGGATTTCTTGGATCGGCGCTGAGCGCCCCTGGCGGCACCTCCGTCGCCGCCCCCTGGCGCGCTCCGCGCGCCAGGCAGGGGTTCCTAGCGCAGGTCCAAGAAGTCCGCGCGGACATCAGAGAAATTATGCTTATATCGTTTGCTGTTCCCCTAGACCCTAGGCACAGTGAACAAGAGCAAGGGTCGGCTACGCGTAGGAGTGACCCTTCGCCAGAGTGAACCCTGGTGCGGGTCCACAGCGATGGCGGCCAGCATTGGCCGGCGCGCCTGGATTGCTGGGATTTGCTGTTGCAGGGCCCCCCCCAAACTCGCGCACCACAGGTCATTCTTGCCCATGCCCATGGTCGCATGCTTCAGCCGCTGGAAATGCGAATACCGCCACACCTGAAGAAGCTACAGTTGCAACAAGTCTTGATGAGGCCAGAAAGGCAGGGCACGTACAGAAAGCGGTTGCATGTGAAAGCAATTTGTTTCCCGACCAAAGCGCGCGCGACAGGCGCTCACGAAGCCGAGGGAGGCATGCGGTCCGCTACCATCTTGGAGGAGGAGGAGGAGGAGGAGGAGGAGGAGGAGGAGTAAAAGAGGCTCTTGCCCAGAGTCGCTCCGGCGTGCCGCTGAAGAGGGAGCGCCGATCTCCGCGTTGGGGTGCCCCTCTCTGGGGGGGGCCCTGGGCTCCGCAGGCGGGGGCACCGTAATTAGGCGGGGGCACGCGGAGGAGCTCAAGGCCCCGTCTGGCCGTGCCCCCGTCTAGGGGGGCCCCGTGATCGCGCGTTGCGCGGCGCGAGGCGCGACGCGCGGCCGGTGACGGCACGCCTCGGGGACCCGAAGATGGCATCGACGTGGGGCGCTGGACTCCAGGCCTCCCAGACGTGCTCCGAGCAGGAGACCGTTCTGGTAAAGGGTCCGGCGATATAACCCGGGCTGTCGGGCCCGCCCGCCCCACCCTCCTTCCCCCCGGGTGTAGCCTGACCTTGTCGGTCGCGCTGGTCCGAAGGGGGTACGCAGCACGTCACCACCCACCAAACCACCCCAACCCAACCCGAAGGCCCAAATTTATCGTCGATTTCCAGTGGGGGGGGGTCGGGGAACATCGAAAAAACACGTATGGAACCCGTACCCCCCCCAACCCGAAATTGGGGTCTTCGGGTTGGGTTGGGGTGGTTTGGTAGGTAGTCAAGTACGTACTGGAGCGCGCGGGCATACGTGTGGCTGCCCAAAGCGAACAAAAATAGGGTATCCGCTGTTGGCTCCCGCCACCCCCCACCAGAGAACCCGGACTATCGCCGAACATATAAGCGACCTCCAGATGGGGACAGAGGATCGCGCCGCATCGCCGACGCGGCTCGATGCGGAGCCCGATTTTCTCCACGCTGATTTCGCCGATGCGTCGCCGAGGTCGCCAGTACATCGACGATGCATCGGCGATGCGGCGCGATGTTCCGACCCCATCTACTCGGACCCTATCTGGGAGGCCTCTAACCCTGTCCCTGGCGCGCGCAGCGCGCCAGGGGCGGCGCCCACGGGACTCCAGTGCCGATCCAAGAATCCCGCGCGAAGTTCCGAATGTTTATGTTGATTGAATTTTCACAACCATCCTGTGGTGTTGGGTCTTCGTTTTGAAGAGGACATTGCCCAGCGTTCCTCACCTTCCACCTGCTCCTCCCTCCTGCATTTCTGTCACTGCCCTCCGCATGTCAACCAGTTCGGCACACCCCTCACACGTTTCGTGACCCCATTGGGAGCTCCACCGAAGGCCTCAATGGGCGTCGCGCCCGTTTCGGGATTCCCCTCACGCGCTTCGTGGCCCCATAAGGAGCTCCACCTGAGGCTCCAACGTCGACGTTCAGATGTGGGCGTCACGCCCGTTTCGGCGCACCCCTCATACGCTTCGTGGCCCCATAGGGAGCTGCACCTGAGGCCGAGGCCCCAGTGGCGACATTCGTGTGTGCGAGTCACGCCCGTTTCGGCATTCCCCTCACACGCTTCGTGGCCGAGCTCCACCTGAGGCCCCAGTGGCGACGTTCGCATGTGGGAGTCGCGCTCCTTTCGGCACTTCCCTCACAGGTTTCGTGGCCCTAGAGGGAGCTCCACTGACGGCCCCAGTGGCGACGATCGCGTGCGGGCGTCATGCCCGTTTCGGCACACCCCTCGCGCGTTTCTTTTTTGCTGGAATGCGCCCTTGTTCAGGTTGCGGAAGCACGAAGCAGGTCTACATCATTTTTCGCTTCTTGTTCTTGCCCGCCTGGGCAGATTCTGCTATCAGCCCAACCGCCGTGTCCAGACCTAGACGCTCCATCTGGAAGGTGGAGAGAGCGTCAGGCACGTAGACGCGTAGACGTACATCTAGCCAATCATGTGCGTACCGTGAGTGTGATGTGTGATCATTTGAACACCAAAAGTCCCGGCCTGTGCGCGATGATCCGGCCAGGCCACCAGTGGGACGACGACGTCGCGGGTGCCCCGCTGGCGGACGCGGTGTCCAGGATCACGGCCTCCGCCGGGGCCGAGGTCTTCGCAGTCGAGTCACGGGATGCCTTGACCCAGACGCACCTCGGGACGCGCTCCGGAAGAAAGCGGTGGTCGCGTGGAGAGACGCAGGGCCGCCGGCAGACGGAACGCGGCTGAACGCGTACTCTGCGCAAGGAGCGGGCGCCTTGTACGAGCTCACCCCATCCAAGACACTTGACATGCAACTCACTGCGAGCCAGTTTGCCGACAACGTCGCGCTCCGGCTCGGTGTCGATGTCTTGGATGCGGGGTCCACCTGTCCTTTGTGCGGGGTTGCCTTGGACGCTCAGGGAATCCACTGCCTCTCCTGCATGGGGGGTCCTGAAACCACGGGCACCCACAACGGCATTCGCGACGTCTTCTACGACTACGCGTGCCGAGGCGGACTGCGACCGCAGTCCGAGGTCCCAGGCTTGCTGCAGGAGGGCCCAGAGGCGCCGCCAGACCAGCGCAGACCAGCCGACGTCCTCGTGATCCCACACTTGGCTTTGGCGACGCACCTTCCCGACGGCAGCCGTGCGGTCCGGGCAGAAAAGGTGTGCTTTGACTTCGCGGTCATCAACGCGCTGGGGCCGGGCCATTGGGCGGACACCGCACTGGCCGCCGGGCTCCCGTCCGAGACCTACGACGAGGAGAATCGGAGGCGGGGCCGGACCGAGGAGAGGTGCCGCGCACAGGGCCTGGCCTTCCGGCCCGTTGTCCTCGAGCAGCAGGGCGGCATGAGCAAGGGCGCGGACGCGGCCTTCCGGGCCGTCGCAGCAGCGGCAGCCGGGAAGGAGGGGCGGGAGCAGTCAACCGTGCGCCGGGAGATGCTCCAGCGCATGGCGATCCTACTCGCCCGGGGCTGCGCTGCGCGGATCGAGCGTCGGCGGGCCAGAGCCCGCGCAGGGCGAGCTGCGTGGGCGGCGGCTGCGACGGCTGTCGCGCGCGAGCCGGCGCACGAGGACGGTGAGTGAGACGCCGCGCAGCCGCGCCCTAGCGGGCTGGCGGCCGCGTGACCTGTGTCGCCATCGTCGCTCCCCCCCCCCTCTCCTCCTCCTCCGGCCGCTGCTCTGTGGGGTCTTCTTCCCGCCGGAATGGAGGGCGGCAGTTTGTCCTGTTGCGCTGTCGCACGGGTGCTTTTCTTGGCCCGCTTTCTTTCTTGCCTTGGCTTCGGCTCTCGGTTCCCCCCCCTCTCCTCTTCCTTCCTCCCCGTGCTCACCCCCCGTGCCCTTGTGCTCTCTCGCCCTTGTGTTGCTTCCTTGCCCTTGTGTGTGCTGTGCTCTCCCTTTCTCTCTCCCTGCTTGGCTCCCCCTCCCCGTCCCCCCGTCCCTCCGTCCGTCGGCCCGGTCTGCCCTTTCC